TTCCTCTTCAGGTACGTGCTGGATTACCTGCGGGACAAGCAGCTGGCGCTGCCCGAGCACTTCCCGGAGAAGGAGCGGCTCCTCCGCGAGGCCGAGCACTTCCAGCTGGCCGAGCTGGCCCAGCTGCTCTCGCCCCGAGTGCCCAAGCAGGGCTCGCTCAACGACGAAGGCTGCCAGAGCGACCTGGAGGGAAGCGCCTCGCCCGGCAGCGCCGAGCACCTGGGGCCGCCTCCGCCGTCGTCGTCGGGGGCCGTCCGGGCCGGCGAGAGGCGGGCGGGCTTCCTCACCGTCGGCTACCGGGGCTCCTCGGCGGCGGGGCGCGACCACCAGGCGGACGCCAAGTTCCGACGGGTGGCCCGCATCCTGGTGTGCGGCCGCATCGCCCTGGCCAAGGAGATCTTCGGCGAGACGCTGAACGAGAGCCGCGACCCGGACCGCCCGCCCGAGAAGTACACCTCCCGCTTCTACCTGAAGTACACCTACCTGGAGCAGGCCTTCGACCGCCTCGCCGAGGCCGGCTTCCACATGGTGGCCTGCAACTCCTCCGCCGCCGCCGCCGCCGTCAACCAGTACCGGGAGGACAAGGTCTGGAGCAGCTACACCGAGTACATCTTCTATCGTGAGTAGCTGCCTCGCTTGTCTTCTTTCTCTTCCTTCCTTTCTCTTCCTTCCTTCCCTCCCTGTCTTTTTCTTCCTTCCCTCCATTTCTTTCCTTTTCCTTCCCTCCATTTCTTTCCTTTCCTTCCTTCTTTCTCTTCCTTCTCTCCCTTTTTCTTCCTTCCTTCCCTCCATTTCTTTCCTTTTCCTTCCCGCCCTCCCTTTCTTTCCTTCCTTCTTTCTTTCTCTTCCTTCCTTCCCTCCCTCTCTTTTTCATCCTTCCTTCTGTCCTTCCATCTGTTCTCTTTTTTCCTTCCTTCCCTCCCTCTTTTTCATTCCTTCCTTCCTGCCTTCTTTCTTTTGCTCTCTCCCTCCCTTTTCCTTCCTTCTCTTTCCAACCCTTCCTCCCTCTCACCTTCCTTCTTTCCATCCATCCTTCCTTCTCCCTTCCCTCCCTCCCTCCCTTCCTCTTTCCATCTTTCTTTTGATCTCTCCCCTTTTCTCTCCCCTTTCTATACCTCCCTCTCTCCTTCCTTCCTTCCTTCCTTCCTTCCTTCCTTCCTTCCTTCCTTCCTTCCTTCCTTCCTTCCCTTTCTTCTTCCTTCCTTCCCTCTTTCTCTTCCTTCCTTCTTTCCCTTTCTTCTTTCCTTCCCTCCCTCCCTCTTTTTTCTTTCCTTCCTTCCTTTCCATCCATCCTCCCTTCCCCCCCTCCCTCTTTCTTTTGATCTCCCCCTCCCTTTTCCTTCCCCTTTTTATACCTTCCTCTCTCATTCCTTCCTTCCCTTTCTTCTTCCTTCCTTCCCTTTCTTTTCCTTCCTCCCTCCCTCCCTCCTTTCCTTCCTATCTTCCTTCCTTCCTTCCCTCCCTCCCGGCAGATGGACAGGGCTTGCTTTATGACAAGAAACCGCTCCTTAAAAGATGTCCCAGGAGTTGGAAAACTCAAATAGGAAGTTTCTATTGGAGGGTGTTTGCTCCACTTCCCTGGTTAGTTTTTTTTTAAAAGTTTCTTGCAGGCTTTTGAACACCAAAACTTTATTATTAATTATTAGATTTGTACAGAGCCTTGCTGCCCATCCACACTGGACAGTTCCCCAAGTAAAAACAGAAAGCAAAAAACCCCCCCAAAACAGTAATAACAATAAAACAATGTAACAGTAAACAGAAAAGAGCAAAAGGACCTCAAAACTGGGCAACCACACACACACACACACACACACACCACTCAGAAGGGGCTTTAACCCCTCCAGTCTAAACCTGGGCTCAGAGCCATGTTTTCAAGAAACTCCAGTTTTCTTCCCAGAAAAACTTTGGGGAATTTTGTTCATTAGAACCCACCATTAGGGTGGATCTTTGCGGCACTAAAACGAATAGCTTTCTCCCCAGGTAGCAAAAAGAACAGCACTGATTAAACCGAGAGATTGTCCCGGTCTCCAGAAATTCGAAAAATTCAGGCTAGAGGGAAGGATTTGGAGCACAGTCTCCGAAAGTGTAATTTTCAATTGGCTGGGTTTGAACTTGGTTATCGTTTTCCTTGGTGCTTCCTTTTCGGAAAAAAAAAAAAATCCAATTTGGGAATTTGGGTGGGTAGAAAAAGAGCTAAATGCATTATAACCCCTTAGCACTGTGCCCCATGCACATCTTAATTTGGGTTAATCGTATGTGGCGACAAAGGAAAGATTCCTCCAGAGCTTCCTTGGTTAGTGTGATGTTGTTGTTGTTGTTGTTGAAATGAATCAATGCAAACACTGTTGTTGTTCTTTAAACACTTGTGATTGTATGACTCTTGACAAATGCATCTTTTCTTTTATGGACACTGAGAGCATTTGCACCAAAGACAAATTCTTTGTGTGTCCAATCACACTTGGCCAATAAAAGAATTCTATTCTATTCTATTCTATTCTATTCTATTCTATTCTATTCTATTCTATTCTATTCTATTCTATGCCATGCCATGCCATGCCATGCCATGCCATGCCATGCCATGCCATGCCATGCCATGCCATATTTCTATTCTATTCCATTCCATTCCCTATTTCTATTTCTATTCTATTCTTATTGTACCCTATGACTATTATTAAGTGTTGTACCTGATGATTCTTGACTCTTGTCTTGATGAATGTATCTTTTCTTTTATATACACTGAGAGCATTTGCACCAAGACAAATTCCTTCTGTGTCCAATCACACTTGGCCAAGAAAGAATTCTATTAAAGAATTGGGGAGGGGGAAACTAAGTCCTAGATAAAAGCATGAATGTCTTTGAAATTTGAGAGTTGAACTATCAATTCGCCTTGAAGACGGTTAGCTTTTTCTCTCGGGGGAGGGGGGGAGAAAGGTGTGTTTCTCCTGATATTCTTATTTCAGGAAGCAGATTCACCTGCCTATTTCAACGTGGTTACCCTACAGCAGTCTTTTTAAAGTCTCAAGTAGGAACTCTTCCCTTGGATGTGATGTGGGCTCGATCCTGGTTGATATGCTAGTTCCACCGAGGGTGGTGTAAATTATGAGCTCCGTTCTCCGGCAGTTGAGGAGGTGTCTAAAGAAAGGATGAGTGAATTTGCTTGCTTTTATTTTGCACCGGGAGCAAGGAAATCCGAGGGGTGGGAAAAGTATTTCCAGGTTTTTACAGCACACGGGGGTAGAACGTAGCATATCGGTGAATGGATTTGATCTTTAATTTTGGCCTTGGTTAAGGCGAACAACCTCCAATTTCCCCAAAATAATCTTTTATAAGGTTTAGAAGACTAGAGTGAGTTTGAGGGTTGAACGGCTTCTGATGAGCGGAGGCTTCGCTGAAGATGAAAGCGAGGTGAGGCTAGAAGTATGGAAAAATTGTTAATATTTTATCACTTCCGTCCCTTCTCATGAACTACAAAGTAAACAGACGCCATCTGGGCCTATTTCAGTGGGGGAGGGGGGAGAGAAAGAAAAAGAAAAGGCGAGAGAGAAAGAGGGGGGGGAAGAGACAGTGATGGGAGGGAGGGAGGGAGGGAGGGAGGGAGAAGGAGAGAGAGAGAGAGAGAGAAAGAGAAAAAGTGAGAGAAGAAGAGGGGGAAGAGAAAGAGGGGTGGAGAAAGAGGCACACATAGAGGGGTTTAGGAAGGAGGGAGAGGGGAGAGAGAGGGAGGGAGATTGGGAGAGAGAGAGGTTGGGAAGGGGAGAGAGAGGGAGAGGGAGAAGGGAGGGAGAGAGGGAGAGAGGCAAGCTCTTGGCAATCTCGAGATGAGGGAAGAGAAAGATTAACCCCGTGAATGACATTGACACATCACCTGTTTTCATTATGGAATACCAACCTGAACGACACCTTGATGACCTTTTGGCACCCTGAGGTAACCCTCCCTCCCCTCCCTCGGGCGATACTACAGGAATGATCTCTGCCTCTTGTTGGGATTAGGGAGAAGAACACGATTGGCCTGAAGTTGCAAGGGATTTCCACCCCTCCCCTCTGCGACCTCCAAAAGGAAAAAGAAAAAAAAAAGAGAGAGAGAAAAAGAGAGAGAGGGAGGGAAGAAACAAAGTAAAAGGAACTCAATTGCCTTGGCATTCTGATAATCCCACCTCTGAAAACTCCACCTAAATGGTGATCCTTGTTCTGGAGTTCCTTTGTCCCTCTTTCAGACACATCCTACGAACTTAATGGAAAACCACCTACTGGAATTTTCTGCTCCATCGGTGTGCATCTAAGAATATCTTTCTGAAGGAATGTCTTCAAGGATACAGCCCCCTCCAAAATTTCTTTGCAGCCCTCGGGAATTTATTTCCCGTCGCCTCTTTCAATCGTCCACATCTGTGGGATTTTCCTGTTGGTGCTCCATCCAAGTACTCCGTCGATCTTATACAGGGGTGGACTGCTACTGGTGTCAGGGTCAGAGTCGGCTAGCTATCAGAATTCCGGCGGTTACCCCCATTTAAATCTTGAGCCGAACTTCCAAAACTTAAAAGAAGATTTATTAGGAGTAAACATGCCAGCACTGCCTGGGTGTAGCCGACTCTGAGGCACATCATTCCTTGTCACCCTTGACCCTGGTCTTCCCTCCACCCCCTGGGTGTATCATAATTCATATTCTCCAATGGGACACGTCCATAGGCCAGAGTCATCAATCATGCTCTCCAGTTAGAATTTTTCACAGCAGAAACTTCAGTCACCTAGTTGCTATCTTTGAAAACCTTTATGGAATGCGCTTTCGGTTTCCAAGCTGCCGCACTGCTCCCCCCTCCTTTTCTGTTGGCAACTCTGAAAAGACCATAGAAATATTTTATGAGTTGACAACCGGTTTGCACCGATTCAGGCAAGCTGGATGCTAATTTTACATCTGCTTCGCTGAACCGGTAGTTCCAACGACTGGCGGGCCTCACCCACCCTGCCCCCCCCCCCCCAGGAGTCTCCTCACAGGCCTTTTTGGATCCCAGGGAAGTGCATGGAGGCTTGGGGAGGGTGACAAACGGGCCTTCCATAGGCTCTGGAGGGCCAGAAACGGGCCCGTTTCCAGCCTCCAGAGAGCCTCTGGAGCCCGGGGAGGCTATATCTGCCCTCTCAAAGGCTCGAGGAAGGCCTCCAGAGCCCAGGGAGGGCAAAAACAATGGTGCAGGAGGCTGACTAAGCCATGCCCACCCAGCAACCGGGCAAAGAACCGGTTGCTAAAATGTTCATACCCCACCCCTGGTTTTATAGTTTCAAAGGCCAGCCAGCCAGCAATCATTTCCGGAAGCTGCAGAACAAGCAAGCAGACACAAAAAGATTCCACTTTCTAAACTGGCTGGAGTCCAACGGATGCATATAAATATTGATCCCTTTTGGAAGAATTATGATCTCCAGGCTGGACAGAGCAGTCCTGTTTTTTCTTGAGCTTGCTGTTCTTTTCTCTCTCTCTCTCTCTCTCTCTCTCTCCATCCCATTTTTCCTTCCGGGGGGCCATCTCAGCTTGCAAAATTAGAGTCGGCTGTTGTGCAGTTTGCATTATTGTGTTGTTTTGTACTGTAGGAGACACTGGGGGCAGAAGGGCAGGATAGAAAACGCTTGGTG